TGTACTATACCTTCCTAGTTAATCCTAGCACCGGATTAATTTGCCCCCCCCCCCCCCCCCCGCCAGAATAAGAAATGGAGGGCGCCAGATTAAAAGAATGATTGGGACTCTTGGAGCTGTAGTACAAACTGAATAGGAATGTATTGAATCTCTATTGATAATCTCTGTAGGCTCTTGGAGCTCTAGTACAAACTGAATAGCAATGTGTTGAATCTCTATTAAAATCCCTTCTCTAATTCTGGTGCTCTTGACTGTGGGCAGCCTTTGTAAGGGGTAGCCTAGGAGAGAATGAAAAAAAATGATTTCAAGTAACCAGGCACATAAGAAAGCCTAGCTTTCTGAAGGGTTTGGACTTCTGGAAAATCTTTGGTTAGAGAAGGATTTCTAAGCAGCACCAGGCCCTGCAGAATGCCTTGCCACTAATGTGGTCCCTTTTCTAATTCTGGTTCTCTTGGCTGTGGGGCAGCCTGTGTAAGGGGTAGCCTAGGGGAGAAGGAAAAAAAAATGGTTGTAAGTAAGCAGGCATATAAGAAAGCCAGACTACTTCTGAAGGATTTCTAAGCAGCAGCAAGCCCTGCAGAAGCAGATCTTCATGCAGATTAGTTTCACAGAGCAAGTGCAGTGCAGCAGAACAGACTGAATGAAGACTCAGCAGCAGCTGTGAAGCTTTTTGCAGTAAGTCTAGCTTGAACTATTTACTTAATTCTACTATCAGGATGGGTCCCCCCAGAAAATCCCTTTTCTCCATACGAAATCCCGCCTAATTGAACTAGTCTTGGACGGCTAATTTTTCCAAAAAGTTTTTCTTTAAATGTGGTCCCCTGTATTAATCTGACCCTCGGATTAAGAAACACATGCCATAGCTGTAGCTTCATTTTCGCGCGTCAGCTAGAGTTCTTTGAGCCACGGTGACCTTTCGGAAAATGTGATTTTTTTATTCATTCCTTAAGGGTAAAGCTCTCTATGGTTTAGAGTGTGTACAGCCCACAGCCGGTGATTTAAGCAAAATTAATGCATGTCAAATGAAGGGACAAAGACGTATTCTTCACATTCCTCCACTTTTGCCAATCGGTCATATATATACATATGCTAACCAAAAAGTTCTCGATATCATTAAGGAGGAACATGGGGTTTGGGTTGAAAGAATCTCGACAACTTGGAAAAAGAGAAAGGTGATTTTTCTGGGTCACATCATTCGAGCTAGTTTTGCCGACCCGATGAAACAAGCGTTTTTCGAACACCTCACGAACATACAGGATACGAATACATACGACCACGGAAGCCAAGCGCTTCATGGCTACATGAAGACGTTTTCTGCGTGCTAGGAAGATAAGAAGACTATGATGCCAACAGCCACGAACATACACAACACATAGTGAAGAATGTGTTGGCAAGACCAACAATATTTTTTTGCTAGAAAGCTAGAACCATGAAAACACAGATGCTGCAACCATCAGCAAAGAGCGAAGAGATCATACTCAATGACATCAATTAAGGCCAGCAGCAAAACAACAACCGACCGTCATCATATAATCTCATCACCGTGTGTAAAACACTTCGGTCACAGAGCTTTTGAGAACGTGTGACCTCCATCTTTGCCTCTTCCTTAACCGTTATTATTAATAACTTTTTGCAAGTTCCCAACGGGTGAATCACATCATTTTATCACGGTTTTCGGTGGGTTTCGTGCTGCGTCCTGGGTTTCCATTGGCTTCTTCAGAAGCAGCCCGTGGGGCGCGGGCGCACGCGGGTGCTGGAGAAGGTTAGAAGGTTCCGGTGGCTTCTGCTCTTTTTGCCTGCAGCCAGGAGCAGGTTTCGAGCAAGTTCAAAACGGGTCGAGGAGTGGGTATCGCAGCATGCTCTGGCCGACTGCAGTGAGGGGGGTTACCAACTGTTCCGGAATCAACCTGCCTTTACCCTTGTTGTTCAAGGACAAGATCCAAAAGACCAAGTTATGCCTGCAAACTGCAGATGCGAACTCCGACGTTCAATTTAAAAAAGAGCGAGGTATGCAGCAGCGCTTACGCCATAGAAAACCCAAAGCTCATCCTTGAATCGTCATGTAAATTTTGAACCTGATTTCTTGCCTACTTGCTCTCGCACATCTACGCCTCAACGGTGCTATGTTGTCCTTGCCCCAGAGCTTGAAGTTGCCATTAGCTGTTGGGGTTGCAGCGGGCTTGTTCATTATCAGTTTGCTCATGGTTTAGTCTCACCGTAAAAATCCAGGTTTGTGTTTCCTGTAATGAAGAGAAATCCGAATTCAAATTGATTTTTCACCTGAAACAATGTCCGCAATGTAAGCTGGACACTTTTGAGCAATGCAACATATGCCAAAACAATGAAGTTCAATTCATCTTCAACATATGAATGTAGATGATAAATCATCGTTATTAGTCTTTTTAAGGTTTTCGGGTAGTTACTTTCGGGGTTGAGGGCTGAAGGATGAAGACCTGTTGATCCTTACGGATGCTTGACAGTTGAGGGCTTGGGTTTTGAGGGTTTGCCGTTTGGGATACCGGGGTTCGGGAGAAGGATGTCAGGGCTTCGCCTGGGCGCTAGCAAAATGGTTTGGGGTCTGCATGTTCAGGCTCAATATTTTGCATGTTTGGGGCTGGAATGGAATGCAAGCGCATGCAAGAACACTATACAAAGGCATGGAGCTGTACGTTGCAGTTCATGGATTAAGATTTAGGGAAATCTGGAGTTTAGATTTAGGAGGCTTCGGTTGAATGGTGTGGGGATTCGTGGGGGCAGATTTTGGCTGAGGGTTTGAAGGAGTCAGTTTAGGGATTTTAGGGGGTGCTGTCAGCAATTTAGATTCAGATTGTTTGCATTTAGGATAGTTGGCTCCTTTGGTTCAGGGTGTAAGGGGCTTTGCGTTTGGATTTCTTCAGCTTCAGGAGTCACAGTTTCATGTGGGGGTTGAGGGTCCGGTCTACAGGGCTTCTACTATGGATCATGGAGTTCAGGTGTGCGTGAATGGCCCTGGGTTTTTGGTTTAGGGCTTGCAATACTGCCGAGTTGCGGGGCTTGCGGCAAATTGTTCAGTACTCGGGATGTGGGGCTTGCTGGGTTTGAAAGCATGGCTTAAGATTTAGGGGCTAGGGGTTGACAGCGTGTGTAGGCGGCTTCGGGTCTAGGATTGAACCGGTTGAAGCATGCAAGTTTGAGGTTCAGGAGGTGGTAGGGTCACGATTTTGCGATCAGCATTGTTGAGGGAGGTCTTTCATCAATGGACTGGAGTGCAGTGTATGGTTTGGCTTACAGTGCTCTTGGGCTTCAGATTTACATAATTCAGTGAAAATGCTTGGGGTCCAGCGCTTTGGGCCGTCAAGTGGTCACGGTGTCAGTCTGCCGGGCTTAATGATACCTAGTGGTTCTTGGTGTTGGGGGCCTTGGAAGTTGAAGTTTGAGTCAAGGGTTCAGGATGCCTTGGCTTCTCTTCTACGTGGGGCTGTAGTTGAGGTGTCCAAAGTTGGAGGGCTTACTGTTGCTGCAACACAGCGATCTTTCCTTTGGCATGAGGGCCAGTTGGCTCCATATCAAGGCTAAGGGATATCACTGATATCACTTACGAATCTTGCTCCAGAGCTGAACTTTAAGCGGCGGTGCCTTCGACGTGAAATGTGTTGACTGCAGAAAACCGTATGCTTCCTTTGGCGACTCGCAAAGATCCCAACGAAATCATGGCCGGCTTCATGCAATCGAGCCCCGAGAAGTAAACTTGAGAATGTCCACCTTGGGCTTGTAGTTTCTTTCGTGCTTTGGAGCAGAGGCATTCTGCAGTCAGTATGTGCAGCTCTGCATGAAGCTTAAGTCTTCTGACCTTGTGTAAGGGCCAGCAAAGCTCCGCGAGCAAGTTCGTCGGAGAAGACAGGACATGATAGAGAAAGACGTAGAAGAAGAGGGGCTCCAAGCATCGTGTAAAGAACAAGTTGAAAAGAGCTGGCCTTGCAGGAGATTCACTCCAGTCGAAGGCGCGAGCTGTGCTCCAACATGACAACACTTCCAACACGACATGCATTGACATGAGTTTGCGATGTCTTGCTTCCCGCAGGCAGGACAGAAGAAGGAGCCCAAAGAGAAGCGCCTGCAGTCTCGCGCTGGCGACCTGCAGGATTGACTGCAGCAAATGAATCAATCAATTCTTTGTTCCTGCTTAACCGTTAACAGGCAAAGCCTTCCGCTAGCACGCCCGGGACCCTTTCTTCTCGTATGCTGAGTATGGCAAAGTTGGCAAATGTTCTTGCCTTCGGTATTCAGCATGCAAGCCACAGAGGAAGGCAGCGATGCCTCCCGTCGACACGTTGGAGGCCGCTAGATTTTTGGCAGAGCTCTTGTATGGTGAGCTCTTGTATGGTCTTGTGAAGCTTCCCCAGTCTTCCAGGCACTCTATGCCGAGAACTCGCGCCTGAAACAGGAGGCATGCAGACAAGCTTCACTAAGCAATCAAATATCGGCAAATGATACACATTCAAAAGATGGCTTCCAAGTTCTAGATCATGTGACATCCACATTGTCCCGCCGACAAGTCAGGTGAGAGGGTGATTGTAGCCTTACATTTCTTATTGGACTTATTGCAATGTTGAATGTTTTGCTGACGAGGTGGAGCGCCAACGAGCCGAGATCCAGGATGAGACGGGGGCTGTCCTAATGTGAGGCTTTCAAGACCTTCAACTGCAGGCATTGAGGGCCCAAAGCTGTGCCCAGCAAAGTGCAGCTGCTGAGCCAATCGCGGCGCACATAGGCCTGTCGGATTGTCCTGTGCATTTGCCCAGTTGGGCCATTGACCGTGCTGCAGCGCCAACAGCAAGAAGTTCTGCCTTGCAGTTGCAGCTGGATCAAGAAGCGCCACTCCTGTCAAGGCAGCTCGTTGAAATGCTTGCCTTGAGTGAGTCTCCACCTAGCATACTGAGCCGCTGCGGGCAGGCCTGTCGGGCATGCTCTGTGCCTCCATCCAGGCCCTTATCTGCCCTATCTTGTTTTTTAGCCCTTTTGTGGTGAAGTCTCTCGCTCCACGGTGCATGGTAAAGTATTCATTGAACTGTTGGAGGCCCAGTGCGGCTGCCATGTGTGCTGTGCTTAGCACAGAGCATCAGTAAGGACTCTGGTTAAGAATCGGCTTCACCTGGACGCGGAGTGCAGCTTCACAGAGACTTTTAGTTTTCAAATCTCCTCAAGGTGGTTACCCTTGCTACGTCCCGGCTGGACCGGCGGGGACACCAACAGTGGTGGGAATCGGCTATGTTGCGGGAAAAGCTTCTGTGAGATTGGCGCTTGGCAGATACGCTTCACGACTTCGCAGCCTGCGCCAAGCGCTTTTGGCAGTTTGACGCCAAGGCCAGCATGCCTATAGCACGAACCAAAATGCAGTCTTGGACTCAAAGTGAGTATTGAAACCCTTTGAGAAGATTCGAGGAATGCCACAGCGAATGGTTGGCCGTACAGGGTGTGTTGTGAATCTGTATAAGACAGGATACCTGAGGCTCTCAATACTTTCTCTGTGGTAGAACTTGCTGTTTGGGTGTGGTGTTTTGGATCGATGCCGTAATCACGAAACGCTGTTATGCGTGTCTTTCAGACGTTGCGGGGTTAGAAGATAACGATGCATTCGGTGCACGTGAGACATGAAAAGCAGGGTCACATGCTCAGCTTTCCTGCCTGCTCTGCCTGCTGCGTTCAATGTAACAGGAGCTAGAACATCAGCAGCTCGAGTCCAAAACCACAAACACACGTGCACGCAAGCTTTTCGCGGTTTCCTGAGTCGTGGGTTCGCCGTTTCAACACCACCCAGCGCATTTTCTGGCATTCAACCCATTGTCTGACCCGAATGCAAGCGCCGGACTTTACACACCCCATTGCCCGCCTGATTTGGCGCAAGGGGTCAACATGTCAGGTGCCAGGTACCGTCCTTGGGCTCTTTAGCTGACAGCGGAAAGGATCTGTTAGGTTGGTGGAAGACTGAGCTATCTTGCAGCAATGCTGGTTGCTCGTCTGACAATGTGAGCTTCTGGGTACCATCGACTTACAAAGGCCACAGACAAGATCCTCAGTTCCTTCAGCTTTGGGCATGTTGCATGCAGCCTGTGTCAGGCGACCTGACCAAGTGTCTGCGTATGCAGCCCCAGCTGCTGGCCCTGTCCGGGTTGCCTGGCCATATCAGGCGCGGCTGTCCATTTATTTGCGGATGACCACTGCTTGTTGGCAGATAGATCGCGTTGAGTTATTTTTTGGAAGCAGGTTCAGACCCCGATTGTGTTGCCATCGCAGTTGGGAAGGTGCTCTGTGCCCATTCTGTTAACGGAGTCGTGCGTTGCGCTAAGCTGATAAAGGTACGTGATGTCCAACGTAGCAGCGCCACAGACTCAGCAGGATTCTCATTGATTGACCTTGAAAATCCGAGCTGGCAAGCGTCTTCCCAAGACTTACTCTAGGAATGAATCTGAAATCGAATAATTCAATTATACGGAATGAATATCAGGGATTAACAAATATGTATACGATCATACGGGCTTGCTGGAATGACTCGCAAATTTTGAATCCATTGGAATCCCATAGAAGGAACTAGAATTGACCCGCTGCCTACAGCAACGGAAAATATTTATTTGAGAATACCCATACCGGGAAGTTCGACGAACAAGCAACGTATAAGATCGCACATGAAACGATGAATAATCAACATTAAAGACCGCACGTGACAAAAACGGCCAAGCTATAGATTCTGAAAGATTTTTGATCGCTACCTCAGACACGCTCCACCGAAACCGCGCAGAAAACCAGAGAAAGAGAATGGCTCGAAATCTCACGAAATCTCGAGAAATCTTTGACGTCGCAACTTGATATCTCGTCTGATTTTTTCCGCTTGACTATCTACGAGACGATTCGGGAGAATATTTATATGCTTAGAGACAGATGAAACTAATCTAGAGATTCTGAAGATTTTGACTCCCCGTTCCGGGATTATACGCTCTATTGAATAGTTGTATAATAGATATACAAATTGAATAATGAATATATTATTGATATCTATCATGAGAATCAATAAGATAAAGAATTTGAGAAATCATTTTTCAAGAATATCTTTTAATTTATGGATTTCATAAAATACAATGATATAATAATCTTCCATTAGATTTTATTTATGATTTAATAGAATCTGTAGCATAATTCTTTAATCAGAACGTAATTTATATATTCATATCTATTTACTCTTCATATCTAATCTTCATTTTTTATTTTCAAATATGAAATATAAATTCAACGAGATATGGATCAAGAATTTATCTTTTTAATATATAATCTAATAATCAATTTAAGGCAAGAATTGAATAGAAGAAATCATGAGATCGATAGATTAATATCTAAAGAGATAAATTTCTCAAAATTATTTGATTTGATTATCGAATAAAAAAAATTAGTATTCATTAATCGAACAAAAATTTTCATCGATAGAAAAAGAAATCAAATAATTTCAATATTTTTTTTATAAGAAATAATATCTCTAAAATGAAATATTATCATAATTGGATATATAGAATATTATACGAAGAATAGTATGAGTTTCGTTTTCTTATTATTATTAGATTTTTAAATTTCTCGAAGAAAATATATATTCTCCAATTCTATCGAGAAATTTAAATCATTCTCTTATATATCATACCTCATTTCATTTTCTAAAATATATATAACCTCTAGAATTTCAAGATCTCTAAAGAATCTATGAAAATTAATTCTAAAAAGAATCGTAATAGGCATAGAAATCTTCTTGAAATATATATTTTCAAAAAACAAATTCAGATAAAAAGATTAGAGATATATTTCAAGAATGATGAAATTAGAATTTATCTATAAATTTTAGAATAATATCAAATTTTAAAATATATAAATTATAATTTTTCTATGAATATCTCATTCATATTTGAATAATCCGATGCGGTTATTTCGATTGCACGCGGCCTAACTTTCTCGGCTCTTCTTTAGAATACCTCTTACGGGTTTCCTAGGAGCTCTAAGATTTTAAAGATTTTAGAGCCCTTCGGATCAGCTAGAGGCTCTAAAATCTCCGAGATTTTTGATACGGGTCACGCGATTATTTTTGGTCGCGTGACCCTTGCTTTATCTCTCCTTGGCTATCTGGGCGGCTGGTCGGAGGAATATATAGATCCAAGATGGAGAATCAAAATCTTTCGAATTTATAAATTGATCGTATCTCCCTAAAAGGGATTTATGCGTCCCTCCGGGCTGCCGCGCAGATAAATCAAGATACATAAATGAGGCGGATTTCGAATCATTTCTCTCTCTTTAATTATCTGCGCAGCGGCTCGATAATATACGTAGAAGCAGCGCGGAAATCCAAAATTTTTCAATTATTATAGAATTTTCTTCTTCTAGAACGTTATTCCGTCAGAAATAAGCGTTCCTCAATATCTAAACATGATATCACGAAAGAAAAAGAGGGAACTATATTGTTGCGCATCTACGAGACGAAAAATTGATGATCGGAATTTAAAATTATTAACCTATAATTTTACGACGACTCAATATTCTCAGGAATCAAAAGGAACTAAATCATCGGGACTTAAAGGGAATTCAGGTATTTGGGACTAATTATACGATTGACGTATTCGTTGATATCTTCGAAATAGAGAGAGAGAGAGAGAAAATTAACGAAATTGACGCATTGAATAAATATCCCTGATTAGATCGTCTTGATATAAATAGCGAATCTCTATTCTATATTTCAGTAATCATATCATTCAGATGCGCAGGATTTTGATAATCGAATCGCGTATTCGGGGATAATATATCTTATATATCTTAGAATAAATTCATCAATCAATAGATCTTTGATTTATCAATTCTTTTTATATCTTCTATTCTAGATTTGATGATAGCTGATTCGAAAAGAATTGCTTTTATAAGATCATAGATTAGAAATCGTAATATATGATCTAAGAATATGATATTTTTCTTATACCAAGAATCCGATAATTTTTCATAATGATAATGATAATTTTCATTCAGAATATCCTCAATTCGTTGATTTATCAAATTTCTATCAATATGAATAGAGAGAATTCATAATACGTATCTGAATATATTCATAAAGAAAATATCGAGCTTATTCTATTCATTTTGAATAAACTGAATGATTTCTAAGCTATATAAATATTTGCTAAAGACGATGGAATTCCCAATTCCCAATTTATAGCTTCTATTTTATAGATGTGCGGGTTTTGACTAATAGAGATTTAGCTTCTTAGTTAGTGTGATATCTTCTCTTCTATATTTGATAATTTCTTTAGGGATATCTGCCGAATCGGTCAAAGAGGCTCCCAAATATATTATCTGCGATTTCCGAGATACTAGATTGCCATCTATGAATTTAAGCGATAATTCAGATTGATATATTTGATTAGATTCAATTTCATGACATATTTGCCAGATTCTATTTATATATGATATAGTAGCTTATTTATCGAAGAATTTATTTATTATATGAGTGCGCGTACCAAATAGCAAGAGGTCGTCGATATATAGCATTTCAATATAATAGATGGTATTTATTGATTCTAATTATTTTGATTTTGATATATTTAATCTGGATTTAATATCTACGAATATAATTATCATGATTACGCTGAATAGATCTGACGAGAGAGGATACCCTTGATTGATTCCTGAATTTTATCTATAATAAGTTGATCTATTTTCTCCTTTGATAATCCTAAATTAGATATCCATATATTCATATATATTGGAAATAATATTCAAAATATATGGCGGGAGACAGATTCTCCTTAATATTTCAATGAATATGTTGAGATAGATCCGATCAAAAATCTTCGCCCAATCGAGCAGAATTAACGATAAATTAATATCCTAATTATGACCCTACGTGCTATAAAGATTATCTGAGCGGGAGATTTTTGAGCACGGACCCCGTATTATAATTTCATTATCCAAGAATCGAGAATAATTTCTAGATGATTTTTTATCATTGCAATAAGGATTTTATAGAAAATTTGCAATAGAGAAATTGATCGTCAATTTTCCAATTTAGAGGGATTTCT